ATTTTGTTTCTGCTTTGATAATTAAAGGTAAGTTATATTTCCCCTCAAACAATCTCTAAAAGATAACACCATTCTTCTATATGCCCCAAATAATCCTGTTTAATAAAATTAATTTCACATTTAATAAAAACAGAAAAACAGCCCTTTTTCATTAATTGACTTGTCAAAGAGATAGGACTAGCTGTCTTGTAAAATATTTTACTTTCTGGAATTGTCTATTTGCTCCCTAATGGTATTGAAGACATTTATAATATTAATCTCTTTCTATATTTCCTAGAAACTGAAATTGCTAAAGTCTTGATACAAGTTAAATGTTGTTGACCAGATAGATTATGTCTTCATGAAACTTCATGAAACCCCAAAGCTGAAATTGATCTCAAAACTTCATTCATTCTGCCCTCAGCCCAGGTATTAACCAAATCTAACTACTTTCTGCTCAGAGCCTGGCCAGATAAAGTAGATAATGTGTGACCCTTTGCCCAATACCAAGACTAGGCTGTTCTTCATGAACAACTCTGCTTCTCTAGACAACAGAGCAACCCGCATCCAGCCCTTGGTCTATGAGGCATCTATGCATCAGGAGGCAGTGACCAGCAGCCCATATGCAGACCAGTGCCCTCCACCACCAACGTCCTTTTTGCCGACCCTGCAGTCCTCTGTACCCTGTGCCCAGTGACCTGTGCCGAACCAGTTCACTCCCCAGTCAATGAAACCCCTCTTGTTCTCCTACGCCCCACTTGCCAAAATGCGTTATGAGCCCATTCTCCTGTCTTTGAGAGGAGGTAGATCTGAGTCTTGAGGTTCCCCTCTCCTGGGACCTAGCTTTACATTAAAGCCTTTCCTCTTCCTGGACCCCAGCGGCACATCTTTGGCATGTCTGTGCATTGATGGAGGATCCCTGGATTTCAGTGTTACAATTAGTGGCTGCCCAATACCTGTCGTCCCATCACTAATGATGCTGATTGGATTCTCTGCCTTTCAATGAGGCCATCAGAAGCTTACAAACACCGGGCTCCATTTTGTCTTAAGTATGTATGGATGAGACTGCCTGCAGGCTTGACCACCACGCGTAACATTTTGCAGCAAGAAAACACTTTAGAAACTTCAACAATCTATCGGTAGACTAACATGTTGGAATTTAGGTCTCTCCCTACCACCTACCTTAGGGGTCACTCTCTTTCCCTGGGGTACAAGCTGTCTCTAGATGAGCGCTGCAAATCCATGCTCAGCACTATTTGTGTTGTTTGCCCTTTGTAGTAAAAGTGAAAATCCTTTTCAGATTTCTTTCAGCTATGGAAAGCTAACATAGGTCTTTCATGAAAGGCAAGTGACTTCACATAAACTTTCAAAAATCAGAAGAAGCAGGCCTCCCCTGGTGGCGCAGCAGTTGAGCACTGGGCTGCGAGGCTGCCTGCAGCCTCTGCAGCGCTGGTTCGTTCCTGGCCACCGGTGAGGGTCCCACAAAAAAAAAAAAATCAGAAGAAACCTGTATTTCATTTTGAAAACAAACTGCCTGTGGTGAACTTTTAATTAAAAATGGAGCTTCGGATAGAATTAGACTTAGAGTGTGAATTTAAGGCAGTGTATACGGATGTTGATTTATCACACCTGAAGCTTATATGATATTACAATACATTATATATAAAGTATGTAATACAATGATACTTCAGTAAATAAATGTGTGTGTATATACAAATGCACATGCATATATGTGTGTGTGTGTGTATGTATATATATATATATATATATATATATAATTAGAATGGAGCATCAACTCACAGGGCTTGTTTTTTTCTCCTTCAGGCTAGTGATGGTCTTGGCCCCAGGCCTGACCCGTGTGAAGACTGCAGTGACAGCTGAGGTCCCCATACCCCTCTTCCCTCTCTCCGCCTCTCCTCGCACAAGCAGCTATCCAGGCTTTCTTTATCTCTGTGGTTCCTCTCTGAATTCTCATGTCTATTTCCCCATGGGAGGCCAAAAATGAACACAACATTCCTAGCAACTACTGGGAGCCTCAGATCCTTTATTGCATTTCAAGTTTGAGGATCTTAGGAATTAGCGACTGTGAAATGGATTTGCAAATTTGAATCAAGAAACTTGAATTCATAAGAACATTTACTCTAAAGACCCGTGAAAAGTTGGCTTTTAAGTGCTATCTTCAGTATTTCTTACTCTCTTCAGCAATTATTGTTCAGGAAATCAATAATGATGATAATAGGCTGAGAAAAGGCAGTGGGATCTCCATTACAGTAAAGCCCCCTTAATGAGCTACATGGACCAGAAGTCATGTGTGTGCAGGAAAGTTTCCCTGAAACCCAGGAGACCTGCCAAACCCAGGAGTCCAAACCACCTTTCATGAAAAAGAAATAACCTTTGGAAGTCAAGTTGAAAAACTCAGTCAAATACATTATTTACATGTTCCTTAAAAGTACAGAGCAATGAACACAGAGGTGGGGCAGGTATAGAAAGCCTTAGCTACAGGAAAGGTGTTCAGGAGGTAAATCATTTGATTGAGCTGATTTAAATCCACCGACATCGTTTTCCTCAATATGAAGATGAAAATATAAATGTCCAACAAGGAAAAAAAGTTTGTGTTGTTCTCACCTAGAATGAGGTAAGCCCAGTTTTTACAAAGGCAGCTCTATGGTGAGGATCCACATTTATTTATAATGGGAGATCTTTCTTAGTGGAAACAGTAAACTCATTTTATGAACTTTTGGGGCAACACAGGAAATGCCATAGGGAGGCAGATTTCATCTTTTTTTTTTTTAATAGAGGCATGTTTTATTTATTTGTTTGTTTGTTTGTTTGTTTTGCTTATACATGCACTGGGTACAGTCAGAAGCGCGGGAGGGTGAGAGAATTCACCAGAGCCAGAGCGGGGAGCAGAGCAGGCAGACGGACCGAAGTACACTGCTGAGAGGAGCAGCGGGCGGCAGGAGAGGTCTGCGTGCCATGCGGGACCCTCCTCTGGTGGCCGGGGAGCAGCCGGGGATTGAACCGGCGCTGCAGAGGCCGAGGGCAGCTTCACAACCCAGCGCTCAACTGCTGCGCCATCAGGGAGGCCCAGCAGATTTCATCTTAATGTGAGGAGGAATATTTTTTTATTCCAGCAAAATGTACATAATATAAATGCATCACGTTAACCATGTTGGAATGTTCCCTCCCTCCCTTGCTCCTTCTTTTCCTTTTTCAAAGATTAATTTATTCATGCATACAAGAACGGGGGTACAGTCCAGATGTGCGGGAGGGTGAGAGGATTCACCAGAGACAGAGTGGGGAGCAGAACAGGCAGACTGACTGAAGGCACTGCTGAGGGGAGCAGCAGGCGAGACAGGAGAGGTCTGCTGTGCCATGTGGCTTTCTCCTTGGCCGGCTGGGAATCCAACAGGTGCTGCAGAGTCTGTGGACAGCTTCACAGCTCTGTGCTCAACCGCTGCATTAAAAGAGGACACCGCCCCCCTCTTCCTTTTAATGCAAACTAAGACACTTAGAAAAACAATTGATTATGCTGGCTGACTCTCCATCAAGGAAAGCTGGAGCTAGAATACTCCACACACAGGTAAGCTTAGTCCAGTTGGACGAGAGGACAACCAAGTCCCTTTCAGAGGTGGTGTTCTATGCCTCTCTTTGGTGCCTTTGCAACATGCTCTCCAAAGTCTTTGCCCCTCCTTGCACTGATGGTGGCATCTATATCCCCTTGCCTGGAATCTGGGATGGTGGCTGCTTGGCTAATAGAATGTGGGAAAAGTGACACTATACCACTTTCCAGACTTGAAGGAAGTGGTGGTTTCAGCTTCCTGTCTCCTGGCAATCTCCTTGGAAGCCAGCCACCGCAGGAGAAAGCCAACACTCATCACCAAGGAAGTGGACCATGCTGGGGGAGGACCTCCACACCCTGGCAAAGACGGCTGTCCAGGTGAAGCCTGGCCCAAACGCAGTTTGCTAAGTCAACGATGGCTGTTGTTTTAGCCATTATGAATTCAAGTTAAGGCTTCTAGAGAGAGGTCCTCTAGCCACGACAGAGAACCAAAACAGTGCATAATATGTGACTGGATCCAAACACATTTCCACACTGCACCTGAAGGGTTCCGGGGAAGGCAGGCCTTCTCTGCGGAGCCCTGATATTTTTCACATATCACAGACAACAGATTTTATCCCTCCTCCCCTCTGCCACTAGCCAACTTCGGGTAAAGGCTCTGTCCTCCAGACCTGCGCCCTGACTTCGGATTTCCTGAAGAATCACTGCCTCTGGGAGCCCCACACCACTCCCCACCACAGACAGGGCGCTCCAGGGGGCTCCTGCCTTCCCCAGGGGTAGTGGTAAGTGGGCTTGGGCTGCAGATTCCCAGGGACAAGAGAGCGGGAAAGTGCACACATCCAGTCAAGTGTTGGCCGCCTTTGATTTCCTATAAACTCAAGGGGAGCAGGCGACCCAGGCCAAGGGGCACGGACACTGGGCCTCTGGCTGCATCTACCGCTCCCCGTGCGCACGGGCGCCGACCTGCTGGGAAGGTGAGGCCTTCCCCGGCTCGCAGCCCCGTGGGTCCAGCCCCTCTGCTCCCTGCATGATGCCCCCTCCCTCCTTCATCTCAGGAAGGAAATAGTTAAAAGACAGGCCTTTTAGGGCCGGGAAGGGGGCGGCAGCTCTGTGCTTTATAGCAGCAATTTCCTAGGCGGGCTGGGCGGCTCCTGCTGTTCCGCAGGGGTGTCTGAGCTCTGGGAGCCTTTGGCTGCGAAGGGGCGGCCGGCCGGGAGGCGTGTTCCCCTGCAGGGTTCCCTTCCAGAGCCCTCGCGCGCGCGCACAGTCCTCCCTCCGGGCTGGCGGCGAGGACCGGAGTTGGAGCCGCTCCATCCCAGCCGGCGGCGGGAGGCCGGAGCGCGGGCAGACCCCGGGGAGGAGCGGTGCCCGGCAAGTTTTCCGCGAGCGCAGCGGGACCGTCGCGGCGCCGGAGCCCCGGACACTCGCGCCCTCCGCGCCCCGCGCCCCGCGCCCCCGCCCCTGCGCGCGAGCGGGTCGGGCAGCCGTCGGCGCCCGCCGAGCTCCACGGTGGGTACAACTCGCGGGCCGGGGCGCGGAGGTGGGGACGCCGCTGGTCCCCTCTGTTGGGCGGAGAAGGAGCCCAGGGCCCAGGCTCCCGGCCGCCCTGGGCGCGGGGACCCTCCGTCCGGGGGTTGGCACCCACCTGCCCCGGGGCGCCTGGCGCGGCGCGGGGGGCGCCCTCCTGGGAGGGGTGCGCTCTGGGAATGTTGGGGTTTGGGGACGCTGCTCGAAGGCATCGCTCCGCTCCGCGGCGGGATTTGGATGTTTCGTGGAAGGGTCTGCTTGGGTCTTCCTTTTCCCCCAGGCTGGCAAGAACTTTGTGGGGCGTCACGCCCTTGGGGCCGGCTCCGAAGCCGGCTGAAGTTTGCCCCACAGCCGTGTCTCCCCCCACTCGCCGGCTTCTCCCCGCGCACCCTGGGGCGCCAGGGAAGCCCAGGGCGCTCGGCTTGGGGGACCGATGCGTCCTGGAAGACCCCCAGGGCAGCCAGTTTGGAAGCTGGCCTGGGGAGGTCTGGGCGTTCTGTTCTGCGCTCTCCTTTAAAGGGCACTTGTTGCCTTTCACGTGCAGAAAACAAGGACTGTTTCTAGATAATCAGCGTCTGTTTACACCTTCCTGGGGCCTTCAGACTTGGAGCTGGCTGCGGAGGGGGTGGGGCGGGAGGCCTGTTACAGTCGGGGCTGTCAGGACAGGGTGTTGCTCATTTCTTACCCAGAGAGCAAAACCGACAGAAAACTTGTAAAAAGTTTCCAGGTTTGATTTTTTTTTTTTTTTGCCCTCTTTATGTAGATGCTAAGGCTACAGCTCACACACACACACACACACTTTGCACACACACACACACACACTTTGGTGTAAGTGTTAACTAACTGAGAAACACCTTGGCAATCATTTCATTGAAATGACCTGCTCTAAACTCCTGCCATTTTGGTAAGGTTGGAATTTCCAAATTACTAATTACAGGTGAACTTTGATCCTGAAAGTCTGAGATGTTAAATGGTTCAAGTGTAAGCAAGGCTTTCAGTCCTCTTCTTTAATAATAGCGTTTGAACTCCAGCAAATTCTTAGACCCCCAAGATGAACGCTGAATCTATAAACTCTGTCCTTCAGGTCTTAACCTGAGATGCTTCATTAGAGCTATGACTGATTATGACTGATGATTTGAAATCCGACATGACTGAGATTCATGGAAATGACCTACTGACTCATCCTCAGAGGAACATGCATTTGAGGGGAATATACATTTCATGGGGTGGATTGCATTCTCTCCCCCCTCTAACCCCGCCCCATAATATGGTGTCTGCATGCCTTGGCCAAGTATCTCTTAGCTCTGCAGCTTGATATATGTCTGGAGGGCAGGCGGAGATGCCATCAGAATGATTGCTGGAGTGGGAAGGAAAGTGGTTTTAATGGTAGCTGGCTCACACCTTGATAAGAACCCGCAGCCATGGCCTCCTTGGCTCCCGTTGTAATCAGCTCAGGAAAGCAAACCAGCAGGCTGATGTCCAAACACCAGCTGCACTGCTCCTGAGTGGCGTCATACAATAGCCAGGTCTGTTCACGAAATAGCCCCTTTGCTACTCTCGAGCAAAGGCCACTGCATTCTAGAAAAGATCTTCTCTCTCTTATTTTTAAGAAAACAATTACTGAAGTTTCCATTTCAACTGCGAAACTAACTGGGAGGCGTTAGTGGTTGAACAGCACATGCCGTTGGGGATTTCTCTTCTCCCGTGTCTGCAGTCTGAAGAGGGCAACATGCTTTGTCCTTATAGTACTGGTCTCTGCAGTGGTTTGGAAGTGACGGTATTTTGTAGGTTCATCAATATTTGGCCAGATACTAATGTCAAATTGGGAGAGACAGGAAAAAAATGTAAAGTACTTCTAATTAAGTCTAGGCAGGACTGATGGGCATATAGTATAGACCTAACTTAGAAAAATCAATATTTTCTCATTTAATCAGACTGAGTCAAGTTCTGTAAGCAACATGAAGGAAGCGCCCTCCTGTCCTGCCACATCTCAGCCATGAAACCTGGACCAAGTCACTTAATTTCCCCAAAATTCAGTTTTCACAAGTAAACCAGAACATTAGCCCTGCCTAACTAGAGTGGCAAAGTTCAAGTCAGATAGCAGATACATATGTAATGGATTACTTCCATGTACAATGTAATGACTGTTCAGGTTCCTGGGATGGGCAAAGTAGGTGATATTTACACCTTCTTACACCCCTGATGGAAATTGAGTAAATCTTGTTTCAGCCACACATTGATTCAACTCAAGTTTTAATCATTTCCCAGGATAACTGTCAAAATCTGTAAAAGTGGTTGATACCAAGGATGAACAATCGTTTTCAATCAATGATGTTTTCAATCCCCCTCCCAAGCATGAGCGTGTTCTGTGGCTCAGAGTTCAGGCCAGCAGTTGGGCTAACCTGCCACAGACTCACAGCCCCGCCAGCCTCACCTGCGAGCCTGACAGGCTACTTGACCTTCGGAGCCTGTTTCACTATGTTTATATTTGTATCTGCTTCCCAGGGCCTGGTCTGGACCAGATGACATCGTGCATGAGAAGTGCTTAGCACAGTGACTGGTCATAATAAATGTAGCTCTAGCAGATGTCTGATAGAGAGCAGGGGAAATCCATCCCTTGGAACCAAGCCAAATGGTCTGCCTGGCCTGGGAATGTCCTTCATTCCCATTTTTACTCTTTGGTAAATATTGTGATGACAATTTTTGAGGAATGAAAAGAAAAACCCTCCTTGTCAGAAGGTATAGATTCTATATGTTCATCATCAAGGTTTTCAATTTTTTAAAAAAATGTATCTTTACCAATCGTATAATGTCTAATTAACACTAAGATGTTAAATGTATTGATGGGGTTAACCAGTGTTCTAGGTTTAAATTACAATTTTTTTTAAGATTGATTTATTTATTTATACAAGCACTGGGTACAGTCAGAAGCGCGGGAGGGTGAGAGAATTCACCAGAGCTAGAGCGGGGGGCAGAACAGGCAGAAGGACCGAAGTACACTGCTGAGGGGAGCAGCAGGCGGCAGGAGAGGTCTGCGCGCCATGTGGGACCCTCCTGGCCGGGGAGCAGCCGGGGATCGAACCAGCGCTGCAGAGGCTGCGGGCAGCTTTGCAACCCAGCTCAACCGCTGGGCCACCGGGGAGGCCCTAAATTACCATTTTGTAACACTTGTGTTACTGTTCCCACATTCATAATTTGCTCTGTGTCAAACAGCACACATTCAGGAATACTGAATTGGCAATTACAGAATTTAGTCATTTTGTGCCTTAACACTATATAACTTTTACTCAACATATTATGTCTTTTCTCTTACAATAATAAATAAAATTTTGTGTCTCAACTCAACAGCTTTCATAATTCAGGTTGTTATCATCCTAAGGGTACTAGAGAGAGAGAAACTAATTTTTTTATCCACTGTATACTTATACTAACATTGACATATTGGAATCCATAGCATCATTTAGATGCAAGTTTAACTAAAAATAGAGGTGAGAGGGACAGAGATTAAGATATAACGCATTGTAATGCATCCTTGGTCTTTACTGGTTATGTTCTGCTGGGGACTAACCTGAGAGATGTATCTAGTTGCCAAATATATCCTGCTTAATAACTGAAACAGCAAATCATCACTGACTGCAATCTTATCAGCAACTGGATTTTGCAAGCTAAATTATTTCCCCCCTTTCTTTTTCCAGGTGAAAAAAAGTGAGGGTAATACAACAACACAGTAAGAGACCGTTCCTCAAAGTTGCCTCAAGATGGAAACCTTTTGCCTCAAGGTCTCCTTTTGGGCCGTGCTGGTTGGATGCGTAATCGGAGACAATCCTGAGAGCTACAGCACAAATCTAAGCACTCGCGTGGATGATTTCACCACTTTCCGAGGGACAGAGCTCAGCTTCCTGGCTACCACCCATCGACCCACCAACCTAGCCCTACCCAGCAATGGCTCCATGCACAGCTACTGCCCACAGCAGACTAAGATCACTTTAGCCTTCAAATACATTAACACTGTGATATCTTGTACTATTTTCATCGTGGGAATGGTGGGGAATGCGACTCTGCTCAGGATCATTTACCAGAACAAGTGCATGAGGAATGGCCCCAACGCGCTGATAGCCAGCCTTGCCCTTGGAGACCTCATCTATGTGGTCATCGACCTCCCTATCAATGTATTTAAGGTAGGAAGTAACTGCAGATTTGAACATGTGTTCTGATCCTGCCGTAAGAGGTGCTGTACGCTTTTCTGACCTTGGGAGTTTTAGTCTGTGTTCTCATTAAGAACATTATCTGCTGTCTCAAAACTCAGTGCAGCTTTAAAGTCTTATTATCTGTTCACTATTAGACTTATTTGCTAATGTGTTAGCCAGCTCCTCTCTCAGGGATGACTCTTCAAAGTCATGGCCTTTCAAGCATGAGATTGTCTTGCCAGCGCCGAGCTTACGGGGGCCACTGGGCAATCTTGGAAAGATCATCAGGCTTCTGAGATTCAGTTTCCACCGTGAGACTTATGAGCCCCTAAAGTCCTTAGACTAAATATACCTTTAGTTTTGCTTACTTTTTTTAATATGATGCTGTTGAGAAACGAGATATCCACAGTATGACTTGAAATAAAAAGTGCCTACTAATTGTGACTGTTTGGATTGATGCTTGAAAGCAGAGCAGGCGGGTGTCCCTGTTATCTCAGAGAGAGAGATAACGCCTGGTGGCAACTCTTAACACCCTTTAAAATAGGGTTACAGTTGGGATTAGGGTTAGGGTTAGGGTTTCACATCCTCAGTTTACACTTATGGCTCGCCCACTGTGTGCCCACCCCGAGCGCTAGGGGGCACTACGGATCCAGTTAGTCCTGAGCAGGAGAGAAGCCCACTGTCCCCCTGTCACCCTGATTGCCCCGCCGCAGGGACTATTTAATACCGGAACCAACTAAAACCAAGAGAAATTACATAGTCCATAGTTGGCCTGGTGGCTGTGAGGGGAATTGCTGTAGGAATTCCAATGAACAAAAATTCAAATGAAATGACATGATCTGTGCCAGATGTTGCGGAAGAGAGCACTTTTTTCCAGCCTTGGTTTTTGTTCTATGTGTTAACCATAGAAACAAAACTACTCTGAGCAATAATAATATTCTGAAATGTGAGCTCAAATGGCAAGTGTGGTCATGATAAGTTTTAAGTAGAACAGTAGCCTCTCAGGTCCTAGTAGAGACACTGAATCTGATGAAATGGCACAAGTCCCCCAGGAACACTGGGAATCTGCCACGCGAGATAAAACCAGGGAGAGCTTTGAACATTACAAATAAAAGCATTCCAACATGACTCCCCTGGCCTGCTTGCAAAATTGGGGGAATTAGACAACAAATAATCAAAAAATAAAATCACAGAGCATCCTTTCCCGCAGAACAGTATCAATTCATGTTTTCTTTTTGACTTAAAACAGGGTTCTTAGGACCAAACTCTGAGGCAAAACTGAAAATGTACAATTACCTTTCAATGTTTAGCATATGCTGCAGAACTTTGATTTTTGTTTTTAAAAAGTATTTTCTCTTAATGAAATATTATATGTGCTCAACACTTGACTTTCTCATAACTTCTCTCTTTAATGATAGTCTTGGAAACGTTGACATGACTGCTACTCAAAATTTCACTCTTCAGAAGTCACAGTGTAGGGTGTTAATCATCAATTATTCCTACATGTTCACTGGTTAGCCAACCCGTCACCACTCAGGAGAATAACTACCCATGTCTGGATCAATAATTCCCATTTGACCATGCGCAAAGCAGTTTCTTATCAATATCTACAACTTCTGGGAAAGAAATGGGCTTGCTTATCTCTGAGATGCTACCTACCAACCACCAGGTTAAACTTCATTTCTATTCCATACCAACATTTTCAGTAAGGTCATCTGGAACACCTCCAAATTTGGTAAAAATTCAAATATAACATGGTCTTACAGTCATATAACAACAATTGAGATTAATGCATCCTTATTTGCCATATGGTTCTTCCCTCTTTGGGAAATGAAAACTTCATGTACCTTATGGCCATTCCAAATAATGTGGACAGTTGGAGTGTGGTGTTTTTACATTGCAGGCGTACATTTGTGTAATATTCATTTTTCTAAAACTTATATAATGAGTCATTCAACCGACATTAATTTTAGAAAGGATCCCTTTGGGGCTAAAAAATATATTGTCGTTAGTCATTGCAGACTGCTCCCAGAGGAAAAGGCAAAAGCATTGGAGCAAACCAAGTTTCACAATTTGAGGGGATTTCTGCTTCCTCTCTCTGTCTTCTTCCTAGTTCAGGAGACCATAACATGTTGCTGCTCTCTGACTTCTGCCCAGGACAGTTGAGAGAAGTCCTACAAGAAACATAGGCCCCAGACCCTCATGCTTTTCCTCCCCAGCTGCCTCCTGCTCTGTCTGATGCCTGGAGTCTCGCCTGCCAGGCCTGTGGGTGCCCAGACCATGTCTGGCTCTCAGCCTTGCGGGGACGTGTAGCAACTTTCCATCATGCCTAGGTGCTTACACCAATAATGTGTAGAATAATTGGTAAAATTAGTTTGAAAGGATTGTTGAAAGTAAAAGTAACTGCTGTGCTCTTTAAAGAAAGATGTTTTCAAATCACATGGGTTCTTGTGTTTAACAATTCTATGGATTGTTCGATACTCAGTTCTAAGGTGTCCCCAGTCCAGGAAAGTGGCCTTGCGTCACATCAGAGTCTGCAGTAGTGGAAGTAGACAGTGTGGAGATCGTGCCTTCGGGTCAGACTTGCAGATCAGACTATAGGAGAGGATGGATAAAGTGTTCTCTCTATTCACATTTTAGTCCTTTTAATCTAGCTTTGAAAATAGCACCGAAGGGGGTTCCTAGATGAGTGAGATGTGAAACACAACTGAAAAGCAATGCAGCAAGTGTTGGGCAACTGAGCTGATTCTGGTCGGTTGTCACCTGTGCTACCAGTCCTGTGAGGCTCTGGATGCATGTGGGCATGGGAGGGGGGTGTTATACCGCACCTGGACCGCCATGTTTCCTAAGTGACCTCCGGGTCTTCAGGGTTTCTTCCTTCCACCCCACACTGGACTTTGCTTCTACTTAGTGAGTGTCACTCCTTGCTCATAAACACCCAATAACTGCCATGTTTAGTGCCCAAGGCCCTTCTCACTCTAGCCCCACTTTACCTACATCTTGCCAGTTCCCAACATCATACTCAGTTCTCGTCAGAGTGTCAGCACTACCCTACATAACATCCTGTGCCCGAAATCACATCTCCGAGAACATGGATCTAGCTGCCAAATTGCTGCTGCTGAAGCATTTATAGATCTAAACTGAAAATGAGTTAGGGCTGGAGTTCTGTATGCTGCATAAGAAGAAATAACCAAAAAGTAGACAGGTATTTCTGACCCTGGGTCATGCTCACACACGCATATACTACCTGGGACATATTCACACAGAGACAACGAAGTAGACAGCAGAAGGGATGAAAGGAAGCAAATCAGTGCCAGTTACCTTCTTGGTTTTCAAACACGATGACCTTGCAAATAGCAATGTTAAAGAAAAGCTACTACTAAATTTATCAAAGTCATCTAATTTTTAATTAGAAGAAAATAGGAGAAAGGAATTAGGAGATTCTCAAATATCCTTGCTTATCTCCTAAGCTGATCATGGATTCAACTTTCAAAGAAACCACATTACCACCTCTATGGAAATAATTTAATTATAAAATTACATTATCTGATATCCAGAATCTTTAAGAAATGCAAAAACTTGGGCAAGTAGTTTAATCTGTGTATATATAAAAAAGTTATATTCATTAAAACAATAAAATAATTAAAATATCTGAGTTTAGAGGCAAAAATAACCCCCAATTACTAAATGACAATATAGAAGTATAGACATTAGCAATTATATTCTTTAATGATTGATGAGGTTCTGTTTATTCCTTCATGCTCGGCTCCAAGAAGATGGATTATAATTTGAATAGTGTAGAAGCCCTGGGTGATGTCTTGCTGCTGGGTGGGCCAAGACATGCTGCCTTGTGCACTTCTACCCGGATGTGTACACAGATATGTCCATAAACACACCTTGCTCTCTTAAGTGGAAACAGGAATGTGGGGAAATCCACATAGGAGAGAACTAAAGATGTTTAGAATAGTGTCCATGGGAAGAAGGGCGGTGTTGAGTCCGATGGCTTTTCACAGAAATCTCTGCCATGCACAGCAGGCAATTGATGCCACAGATAATACTTAGGTGAATAATTGAATGATTTATGGGTGTATCTGTGCGCACACACGGATAAGCTGTTATCCTGAAAGCACATGGCGCCATGTCTTGGCTCATCCATGCACAAACATTACTTCTAGGGTTTCCATTATATTCAGAAGTATAATTCTTCTCCCTCTCAACACCACACCAAGGTATGAACATAATCTCATGAATCATTTAGCACATGGGGGAAAGCAGATTTGCAAGAACAAGCTGAACAGTCAGTGAAAGAATCTAGTAACTAAGTGTTGATTACTAATCCAGGGCACTCCAAGCAACCACTTCTTGTTAAAGACAACAATGAAAAATAAACAAACATAATTTCAGTATGAAATTATCAGGACTATTTTGCAATGGAAAGTCAAGACTCCCAATATGTTGTTCTGGCAGAAGATCTGAGCGCTGTGCAAGCCAGAGAAGTTCACCCAGAGCCAGTTATCTCCATATTCACACAGCCTTTGACATCTTATGCAACTGGGGTTCTTCCTGTAGGGACAGCCACACAAAAGTCATTCGCGACATGTCAAGTCACTTAGGGCACTTCTGTCACAGAAATAAATTGCCACAATTTCTAGATGGTATGCAATACAGAAGTAGTTAATAAATATTTATTGATATGGTTTTCTTTGATTAAGGTCTTTGTTGGTGAAATTAACTTCTAATCAGAGTGCCCTGAGACCTTCAAAATATTGTGATGATGAGGACAATGAAGATGATGATGATATTATCTGTCAGGGATTCTTCATTAAAAATGATTTGTCAGGGATTCTTCATTCTTCTTTAAGGACAAAGCACAGGACATTGTGTTGATATTACCCACCAAATTCCATCAAGGGTGTATTTCCCTTTTTACCCATCATCATGCAAATTAATACCAACCTTCTCATGTGATGCAGTAATAGTGCTGAGATCAT